TATGTTCTCATGCTTTCTCTGTTGCTTCGAAAGAACTATAGGAGATGCCTTTTTACTAAATACAGAGAGAGGAGTTGTGGAGGAAGCCCAGTCCTCTGATAGGCTCCCTCCCTGGAAATCTGCCCCAAGATAAGACAAAACCACTTAGTCATGGTGACTAAGCTGTGGACTCCTTCCTGATTCAGGACCCTATGTTATCTCCCTGTTAACTACTGGGCATCTTATCCTGGTCTCAGACTGCTGGCCCCTTTTCCAGTTCTTCCTTTCCTGATAAAAACCCTGGCTTTTGCCCAGATCATCACTGGCCCCTTTGCTGAAACCTGCAATAAAGGACCCTGTGTAATGCCACATGGTCTCCCATCTCTCGTCTATGTGTAGCTGTGGTAACCCATGAGTGGAGCTGGCTGGGCTGATCTGAGCTGATCATGGCAAGATCAGAAATCACTTCTAAAACAGCAGATCACTGGAAGCCTCAGGCCAAGGTCCTAAGGATTACCCCTGGCTGGAAATTGCCTGGAACTCCCCAGACAGCGGCTCCTTCCCAGGATGTCTATCTGGGATTGTTGCTGGCAGAGCTGGGGGTCGGACAGACACCCAGACCCAACTGCAACAAAGCACAGCTCATGTTTAATGGAGGATGTGATTAGCACATGAAGCAAACCTCACATAAAATGTCATCTGATCTCTGAAATTCCTAGAAAAAAAATTAAAAATGTTAAACTGTTAACAAAGTTTTCTGTATGTGTGTGCAAAAACCTCGTATTTCACATCTCTTCTGAAACAGACACTGTTACACCTTAAAAACTATAACAACATTTATAGTGACATTTACAGTAGTACTTAAGGTAGAAGTTCAGAATTCTGAGACAAATTATAAACAGAAATGTGATGATCACTCTCTTCTATGTGACCCCTAAAATCCAGGCATAAGCTATATATAGCATGAACATGAAAAGGTAGAGAATAACTGCTATATATTCTCGCTAACCACGGAAGTGTAGGTCATTCCAGGGGGAGCAATAAGCCACAAGTGGAAATCTTAAAATTAAATATTTTTCATAATTTATAAATTGCACTACTTTGCAGTAATACAATCACCATAATTCCATTAAAAAGTAGTTTTATAGCACCATGATTGTTTAATTACAGTATGAAACATTACTGCTTTGTTTTATAAGCTTTCTTATGCTATTTTTCCTTAATTGGCTTTCTACTTATGGCAACAATATCTCCAATGTAGACATAACTTGTATATGATAAAAAGAAAAATTAATAAATGCCACTTAGTATGACAAAACTTATGTTTTAGTCACACAGATAGACACTAAATACAATCAAATTTTAAGTGCTTACATGCAGTAGCTCAAAACACTTCTTTTAACAAAAAAACAACACTTAAAACAATGTCCTCAACATTAGACAAAAAGAAATGTTCAGTATTTCTGCACTCCAGCCACTGAGCATCAGCCCTGGACACGCCAAGAAGCACAAGACTGATTGTAGGATTCCTGAGTAGCAAAAAGGCCTGCTGCAACAGCAATCACACTGGAAGTGAGGAAGCACAAGCCAGAGAACATGCAACAACAGCAGGGAAAGGCCCTGAGCTCCCAGGAACAGGAACTGGCACCAGCACCACTCTGCTGGCTGCACCTTTATGACTCCATCCTCAGAGCAGATGAAGATCATCCCAAATTAGCATTTCTTGTGATCACTTCACTTAAAAGAGCAAATATTATTGTTGCCAAAAGGGATTCAAAAACATGAACTAAACATCTCTAGTTGTGCAAAATACAGAGTTAACACTGTTGATAAGCAATATGAAAAGACAGTTTCTACTTCTTCCCTAAATCTTCTCTTGCACTGACACCCAGCTACTACCCACCACTACATTGTAAAGGAAAAGCTATGGTCAAACTCACAAGTGAAAATAAAACAAGAAAACCAAAAAACAGAACAGAAAAAACCCAAACAAGCAAACAACTAAACAAACCAAACAAAAACAACCCCACCAAAAAAACCTCAAACAAAAAAACAAACCACCAAACAAAAAAAGACCTCAAAACTGAGAAATGCAGCCCTCCCATCTGAGCCCACCACCAGATACTTTGTTCTGGCAGGACTCTGAGTGGAAAGGAGGCAGGAGGAGGTGGGGAGGAGGAGGTGAAGAACTGAGTGACAAAAGGAATAGAAGGGAAGCAGGACAGGAATGTTAGCATGGTCTGACAATATTTTCTTTAAAATATTCCATAAAGAAACAAAAATACTATTTAAATATTTAAAACATCACAATCTCTGTTTTTCTTCTCTGTCTCTGCATTATCTTCAAACAACAAGACTGCTCCTCAGCATGGAAAAACAAGCATTAACTGAAGAACAAGGACAGAAAGACAGGAAAAAAACTGGTTCCTTCAGTGCTCCCCAGCTCAAAAGACTTGTGAAGTCAGAACAGTAATTCACAAAAAAACATCTCTTTGTTGTGCCTAGACTTTTCCTCTTTGGTTAACTTCAATATGACAGTTTTGCAGTACAAACAAATCCTGCTTGCTCATTTAAGAAAAAAAAATACCCCACAACTTTAAAGCCCACCAATAAGAACCAAGGCATTGGATTTGCTGACTTTAGCACCATGCCTCAAGATAAAGCAACATACCACTCAGTCCACACACTGCACAAACAGAGGGCAGGACTTTCACTATCACCTCTATGCCCTCCAGACACAGTGCCTCAAGCCAGGAATACATCCTTACCTTTAAACTGATTGATGACCCTAGAGGCCCACGATGAAGTCTCACTGTCTGACTTGCTTCTGGTGGGACACTTGCAACGAATCCGTTTGACTTGTAAAGTAATCTGCCATTCTGGTTTCTCTTCTCCCACCCCCTCTTTCAAATTACACTGTCCTAAAAGATGACCTCCCCGAGAATTTTGCAGTAGTCTTGTAGCGCTTTAAGAACTCATAGAAAACATAGGAGCAGTTAAACAGATTGTCACACTTCACCTTGAAAAGAATCAAATCCTTATTCAACTGTTACTGCAATTCATCATTAAGCATAAAAAAAATGTAACCGTCTTAGTCTCCAGTGGGTAGAGGCTGCAACATCTTGTCATTGCAGAACTCAGCACCATTTGTCATCCTGTCTTGAACATGGCTCCGACTACAACTGTTAGGACACAACTTGCCTCCTTAGTCTGGCACAGCTTGGCCAAAAACCCTGGTCACTACTCACATGCCTTGCAGTTTTCATCAACCTATAGCTTAAGAGCTTCAAGAGCACAGCACCCTAACAGTCATAAAAAGGGTGTCCCTGAATGGTGTCCTCAAAAGTGAACTTTAGAAAACAGAAGTATTTTTAACATAATTGCCTATGTCATGCTTTTATTCTTTGTCCTGTTTCAGTATGCTTTGTAAATATTTAAATAGCATAAAATAAAAACAAATAACCTCATGTTATATTGCAGGGAAGAAATTCTACAGAAAAACCACAGGATTAAGAACTGACACAAATCCAAGAATGCTGGAAACATATATTTACATGCGTAAGTCTTCATATAAGCACACATAAAAAAATGGGAATTCACATTCAAATAGCTCCCCTGTCAGCTAGACAGGGTACCTACTAAGCAACATGTACAGATCACTAAAATTACTTCACAGATAAATCTGCAGAGTCAGGACAAAAAGTGAAGTTACTGCTTGTTTTTCAAAAAATATATGCCTTAAATTACCCATCCTATTATCTTCTGGTTCATTCTCTAATTTAGACAAGTGTATTTAAAAATATATCCATCCTTTAACTTCACAGTTAATGTCCAGAAGTGAAAATTTAATTTGCCACTTTACCAAAGTTTTATTAATGTTTCATGCATACTTTTATTTCTCACTACAGGGTGAGAAAGGATCCCAGGGTCTTCACCACATAATTCATACAATTTCTGGATGTCACTGATAAATCCTCATTTTCAAATAGCAGCGCAAACAAACCCTCAGGACAGGTTTTTTTTTTTTCCCCTGAGATTTTTTTAAATTACTCCAATGTCATCAAGTCTCTAAATACTAAACAGACTAAATCTGAAAAACATTGTGATGAATACAGCATAGACAGCATCCTAACTTATTTCTTGTCTGTGCAAAACCACAAGAATCAATAAAGGGCCACAAGGCATTCTTCTGCCACACAGCTGAAGTACTGTGAGGATTGTGAGGAATCCTCCTTACCACAGTCTGGTCAGAGACCAGATGGGGCTCCACACTGACCATAAGGTTCATGTACAGAGTCTGCTGGCTCCCATTTCAGCAATTCTGCATACCAGACAGAGCTGGCCATCTTGCAGGAGTCAACAGGAAGAATGATTTGTAAAGCCAGATACATAGTTTAGTCCTAATTCAGTTACTGAACTGAATTTCTGTATTTTTCAAATTTTTATTCTGCTGACAAGAAAATTATAGCAACAAATAAAGTCAATATAGCCAAGTTGCTGACCCTTTTCTCAAGCTTATTGAAAATATGTGGAAAATGAATACTTAATACCCTGAGCAAGCAAAAAGGAGGCAGGAGCTCTGGCTTCACTTTGATCTTTTATTCCTAGTATGAAATAGTTCTTCATATCTTTGTGAAGTCAGCCATTCCACAGCTTCCCTCTACATCCTCATTTTAGCAGGGTAAGACACAAAAGAGCAATAAAAGGCTCCTAGGAAAAAGGTCCTAGACCTTATAGAAAACAACCTTCTTCTGAAGGGCAGAGAAAAAAAGCTTTATGTTAACCCCCACCCATACCACCATTTCCATACCCTGCACATTTTAAACAACGAACATATACACAAAAATCACTTACACAAAAAACAGCCTCAAAAAGCCCCAAAAAGTTAATGGGATATGTCCCCGAACACTTGGATCAGATGTTCAGTTTAAGCTATTTCACTATTCAACAAGCAGAAACACACATCCTTTTGGATTACCTTAGCAAGTTTCCCCTTGCACTTACAAGACTGCTTTTCCTACCTGATCTCTCAGTTGTTGAACAGAAGTCTGAAGGCTCAGAATTTGGTTAAAGAGAGGACTCTGGAGCACTGATTTTAATAGGCTCAGTTTCTCCTCATTTGCAATATCACCTCGATCCCGAAGTTTTGCCTGTAAGCGCTCCATTGCCTGGAGGGCCCGATGTGTATCTGTAGCAATAATCATTCCTAGTCAGTAGCAGAACAGAAACAGCCACACAAGGTAACACGTTTAAATATAAGCCTTTTTATTGTCCAAACTACAGAGAACTTGAATGGCTCCGTTTTGAACAAAAAGAAAGAGCCTGTCTAATGAAGCAGGAACTCAGAGGCAAAGCATAAATCAGAAGCCAATGAAAATTGTATTTTTCTCCATCAAGAAGTGGGTTACAAAAATGAAAGAGCCTTCATTGAAATTCAGTTGCGTGAACTATGGCTACAGTCCACTGTAAATAAATAGTGGCATAAACAGTCATAATAGAAAACATTTGTCTTTTCCATGCAAAAATTTTTAATTCAAGAAAAATTAAAACAAAGAAATCAAGACAAGAAGGCTAAAATTTAAATACATTAAACATATAATTGTACAACTTTTGTTTTCAAATACAAAAACCCAAACACAAAATGCATTTCTAAGCACAGTAGATTATGTTTTTTCAAAACCTCTCTCAGCGATATACACCCATATCCCAAATCTATCACACACACTCAATTTGGCCACAAAAAGACTGTGATACAAATGAAAAAAAATTACCAATTGTTTCCAACATCTTTTCTGCTTCTCAGCTTCAATTTCAACACTGGAAAGAGACAGTAAATATTTTCCTGAAAAGTAACAGAAAGAAAAAGAGGTCACATTTATAGAAATACTAAGCTCTTAAGGGAAAGAAAGAAGCTTGACTTTTGAAAGCAATAAATAGCAAAATAACAATCCACAAAAAAACTATCTCCACAGATAATTAAAATAACCTCAGATGACCATATTCTGACTCCCTTTGGTGCTCACAACCTTTCTGAAAATTGCTTTAGGAATACACTTTGTAATATATTTGTATTTCCATATCAAAGCAGCTGTCTGAATAGTGTTGCACAACATGTCCTTCACTGCTTTAATCAGACACTATGAATCATAGCTGCCAATGATATTTTACACTGTTTCATTGCTTTCCTTTTCAGTGATTCACAAAAGACATTCCCTGCGGGATCAGTTTTCAAGCTCTGTGTTGACAATTTCAGGTGCATGAGCCACAGAACATTTTTTACAGTCACCTTTGAAAGAAAAGTTGTATAAACCACAAGGCTACAGGCTTGCAGGACTTTCACACTAGAGCCTCTACTATTGATACCTATTGGAACTGAGTTTTCATCAGTGTGGGTTTCCAGGAAGGAAATCCTAGACTGGGAGAAAAAAATTCTGAAACTGCTTTGCTTATTGTTTTTTGCTGCTTTGGGGTTTGAAACTGCTTTGCTTATTGTTTTTTGCTGCTTTGGGGTTTTTTGAGGCTTTTTAAAAAGGTACCCTTGCAATTGCTCAAAAATTTGCAGTGACAGAACATGTTTGATGATAACTGAAGAGAACTGAGGAGCTCAGATATCATTGAAGGTATATGAACTGATCATAAGAATATGATCTTATCTTTCATAATGATGCTTTTGTTTTCTTTGTAGTAGGAAAATACTCCAGTACAGCATCCCCAATTGAATCTATAGAATTTAAAAATATGCAGAGCAGTGATCTCTAAACACTCAAGTGATTTTTTTCTTGGAACTTCCCTAGTCCCATAAAAATATGACTTCCCTAGTTTCAATGCACCTGGAGCTTCCTATCAGTTTTATTCACAGAATCACAGAATGGTTTATGTTGGAAGAGAGCTTAAAGATCATCTAGTTCCAGCCCTACTGCCATGGGCAGAGAACTTTCTACTAGACCTGGTTACTCAGAGCCCAGTCCAGCACACTGAAAGAATGGGGAGTCCACAACCTCTCTGAAGATTGCATCTGAATTTGACAATTGATAGAGAATCACTGCTAACCCTTTTTAGGACAATGTACAATATTCAGACCCCTTAAACCTGACTTTGTCAAAGTAATGTTCCTCCATGATACAAATTATGCCTTTAAATAAAAATAAGCATTCATATTTTTTTTTTCCTTATTTGGCAAGGAAAGTCCCAGCATGAGAAATTACCATATCTCAGAAACAACCCAAATATCTTGTATTTCCACCCTGTCACTCCACAAAACAGGACAAAATTAAGTTTATTTTACATAGGAAGGGCTGAATGAGATTATTTAAGCATTATGAAGGAAGCTGATTTCCACAAACCTTAATCACCCATACCTTTCCTTTCTAGATTAAAACTACTATTACTATACTATTACTACTATTAAAACTAAACACTTCTATTCAGAGCTTCTACTTAAAAACATAGGTATTTATGTCATGCTCGTAGATGTTTTCCTCAGTGGCAAAGGCAATGAAAGCAGTTCTTTCCTTCTCAATACTTATTCTTGGAGTTGTGTAGTGGATGGAACCAGCAAACTGTGCAAAAACTTAGAAATTGAGCCTTTTTCAGTCATTTCATTTATCACAGCACTACACACACAAGCACATAACCCTGTATGTTCAACAGATGAAACTACTCAGGAAAAATAGAGGCTTACTGTTCTGCTTTAGCTCTGCAAGAACCTCAACAAGAGATGCAACGGAAAAATGTCTATCTTTTGGAATAGCTGGATATTGCTTTATCTTATGACTCAGTTTAACTAAAATCTCATTCTTCTTGTGCTGTGAAAGGCAAATGAAAGGAAATTTTACAAGTGACAGCACCCAAGGTCATCAATGCGTTCATGCAATCCTGAAGGCATGAACTCTAATAAATTACTGCAGGAGATTCTAAAAGCAGACACAAGTCCTAAACATATCTATAGGTTGAGATTATGCCACTTAATTTGCAATGAAAAGAAGTCCTTAGCTCTGCTAACACACTCATTACTACTTTCTATTTACCTCATGCTTTAGAGAGAGGAGTGAATACCACTCTAGCGCCATGCTAGCATCAACAAATCCATTCTGAACTCCCAGTTTATTCTCCTTATCTGGGTTTATAGTAGCAAGAAATCCCTCCCCAGCTGGCCATCTTAACACTTTTGTTGACTGCAGCAATAAGCATGAGCAAGGCCAAAACTGTCGTCAGAATATTTTCCCGCAGACACCCCCTGTGAGGTAGACACAACGCACTGAGGCACACCAGTGTTTGCCTCTACATGTTGCAGGCCAAGATGACCCCTGTTCGCTCTGCCTGCACTCTGGAACAGCAAAAAGCCGCGTGACTGCTCCTGCTGTGCCACATCCATGCTAACAAGTGGGATCTGTCAGCACCAGCTTAGTGGCATATTAACATAGTGGAAGTACCGGAGAAGCAACCACACATCTGTCCAAAATGCACTAGAGACATATCATAAACACCACCACCCACTACAGAACACACTGGCCTTTAAATCAGCTTGCTTCTAGGTATTTAAGAAATAATGTGCCAGTGAGAAGTAGAGTGGCATGCATGATTACTTGTTGAAAGGCCGAATTCTGCTATAGTGTTTATTTTTATAATGGCATCATAGATTTCTATAGGGGGGAAAAAACTTCTGTGGGAAGTTTAGTTCTGATTTTCTCATTTTGCAATCTCCTGGCAGTCTGTGTCACAAGACTCTGAAGCCAAAAACCAGCTCTTCTATATATGATACAACAATCTTCACACCTCAAAGAGCTTACTAGCTTAGCTCAAAGCAGATTTAACTATTTTTGTATTTCAGTGCTGAAGTTCATTAATCTCTTCACAGTAATAAGAACATAGACTGTATGACTTAAGACTTTATTGGCAAATTGAAGAAATACTGTTAAGCAAAGAGCAAGTTAAATCTATTTTCAAGTTCTAAAGACACAGCTCCAAGTTGTGATTTGAACAAAAAAAACCAAACAGCCAAACAAACCAAAAAGGAAAAAAAAGGAAAAAAACCCCAAACCTCACCATCCTCTCTTTTTCTTTCTGTTTTAAAACACTAGAACAGAAAACACAGGGAATTTTAGACAGGTATATGGTGACAAACATGCAGTATTCACTCTAAGAACAAACCAAAGTTCAAGATGATCCCTTTCAAGCTTTCACTTCCAAAATTTGATTCTTCTGATGCTAATGAACAAACATCTGTTACATACGCATTCTGCTACTCTAATGCTATCCTTCTTTGATAACACTGATTGCCAGAAAACAGCTGGCATGTTGCAACTCTCATTTCTTCTGTCCACTTCTGAAACACTAAAATACACAGGTGGCAGAATTTTTTTAACATCCCAAATTTATTTGATCACTTTCCACTACAATTGCAGAAGGCATTTAGCTAAACAGACAAAAGATTAATGAAAATAGAAAGATGACCCATTAGCATTGATCATTCCTTCACACCCAGTCACTTAGTTTCTACAAGAAAACCTACTCTGTTTCATTGATGGATACTCCATCTACTATCTTACAAAGCCATTTTAGATAATACCTTGGAAACCAGTGCTCATAGCATGGATTAGGAAACATGCAATGCCAAAGATAGAAAACATAGTAATAGGCTTTGCCTCATAGCTCCTGCATTACTTGAAGCGCTCTGAGGACACAGAGTGATCTCTAGGCTCAAACTTTGGCTTTGAGTTGCATGAGATTAAAATTAAATCTATTTCAATTAAGCAGCAAGGTAACCACAACATGCATTTTACAGCTGCTCAAAAGAATATTTTGAAACTTCTAATCTAACACTGGCCTGGATTTCTCTAGGCTAGAGATATCCTTTAGTACATAATTTTCATCCCATGTCATCTTCTTCCCCAGTTTTCTGGCTGTCATTCAAATACAGGCATATTGTATTAGCACCGTGTGGTGCAGGAACAGAAACCAAACCATGCAGGAAGTGGGAGATACTCATTATTGCTAAACTTTCTGCTTTGCCTGCAGATTCTAACAGCTCTTCCATTTTTCCCAGTTACCTCCCAAAAGCTGGCTACTAACTGCAGGAGGAGAACTAAGGTGGATCCCAGACTCCTAGAAGTCTTGTCAAAATTAAGGCAGTGGAAACTATTCACAGTAAACTGAAATATCTCATGCTTTTCTAAGTGTATTTTCCTAGCTACTTTTCCACTGTCACAAATGCAATTTTGCTGCTGCATACAGCACTTTCTTAAGCACATAAAGGATGTGAAAATAAACAGCAATGACCATCAGGGAGAAGAGAACAAACAAAAAGAAAAATTAATGTGTACTGTTCCACAAGGAACAAAGTAGATTCCCACTGACTACCTGGAATGTAACAAGTAAGCAAGAGATGCCTGACATCTACATTTAAAAGCTATGCTAATGAAAATTGTTTTGAAACATTCAAAGCAGAAATAAAAAAGCAGTGTTGCACATCCTACATTAAGACTCTAAGCACTTGGAAAAAACATTACTAGCCTCTTGAAATCTAACAAAATGCAGAATGCATCAAAAATACTTAGAGAGGTAGTGGTTCTGTATGTTGAAGAAAAATTCTGTGATAGAACTGACAGCACCATGTACTTTGAATCAATTATGAAAACAGAATTTTGAGCTTTCAACTACTTTTAACCTCCTGTACACATCACACTAATGTATCAAGGCAACTTAAAATGCTTTTCCATGGACTGGAAATCTGTTCACTGTATGTAATTAACAGTGTTCTGTAACACTGTAAGTAGCCCTATGTCAGCATAAGATATCATATCCGTGTTAACTGACATGCTAATAATTACAACTGGAAAATGAGTCTAAGCCATCATAATGATTTCACCTACTGATAAATTGTGTGTGACATAGTGTATTCCAAATTGATTTATAAAGAGCATTCTAAAAACAGCAATATATAAAACCTGATGAAGCAAAGACTTTACAGCAGTTGCACCTCAATGTACACTGGATTCTTCACAGAGGTGACAACAGCATACATAAATGAATAAATACAAAGCCTCTCCAAACAGCTGCCAGTAAGCATCAACAAAGAGTCATCATTTTCCCTACAAACCGAAAAAAAAAATTTCTCTTTGTGTATTGTGACAACAAGTGACATATACTGAAAATCCTAACGCTCTATAACAAGACCATTGGGGTCTCAGATGTAAGACCAGGGTCAGAAAAGCCTACATAAGTAATACGTTATTGTTGCCCAGGCAAAAATAGCATATTTTTGTATTGACTTGTCTGGAAAACCAGCAGTGAGACAAAACTGTCCTTATCAATGATAATGTAGTATCCTGCCAGCATGGCATTGTATTGGCCAAAACTGCTTCACCAGGATGCTCAAATATAAAGCAAATTAGAAAATTTACTGAACACATGTCACAAATTTTTATTTTATTTTTTTTTATGTGAGACATGGAGAGGAGATTTAAAAGGTCTTTAAAACTGTTCTTAATGTACTGAATAAAGTCCTACTTGTTAAAACAAAACCATCTACAGCTATCTGCGTGACTGAGAAGATAGCAGGCATTCCCCTCTGAAAAATTCACAGACCAGAGCCCCACCAGAGCCAGGTGGAATAAAAAGATCCATTAGTATGTAAGTAGTGCAGTTCTCTTTTCCTAGTGCTGATAGTGATCCAATTTTCCTAGCGCGCTTTTGCGAGAAGAGGGGGAGAATGTATCCAGTTCCTAGAGAAAAGCTTCTTCAAAGCACTAAGGGAACCATTCGAAACACCAGATCTAATCAGTTATGTTACATGCATGTTACTGTTAACAAGCTAGGAGAGATAAAAATAGGCAACTACAAACTGCTAACAATTAAAAAAAAAAAATAAATTGATGGTCTCTGTCTAAAAAATGCTGCTTGCTAAAGTGGGTATATCTTTATGTCTTTTCCACTTGCATTCTTTTCTTTTAGTGTTACAATTACTCCAATTTCCACAGAATCCTCAAATAATACTCCCAAAAACTATTTGACCACTTTCCCCTTTTCCAGTTTAGATTCTTCCCTACCAAGGAGTTGCTGCTTGTGGAACGCAGTAGTGATATGGAAACCACAGAGCATCACACAACAGAACTTCCGCAGCTGCAAAACTCGGACACTTCCACTTGATTTCAGTAAATCTCTACTCTCCTATGGCGACAGACTCCTGACACCCTTTCTGGCACCAAAACCAGTAAGGACGTTTCCCACACAATAGTTTATAGTAAAAAAAAAACAAAACCAAAAAACAAAAAACTGTATTTATACTCATAATATATATCTATATAAATAAATATATATAATATATAATATTTATATATATAAGACACAAAAATATAGCTGGACGACGCAGTGTTTATAAAAGCAAAATACAAGGAAAAGGAAAAAAAAAAAAACAAACAAAAAACCACAACGTTTTTCAGCCAAATGGCAAATCAAATTTGTTAAATGCTGTACACGGAGTTCAAAAGGTCGGCTTTGTGAGATTTTCTTTCTTCCTAAAGCTCTTTCCAGTAACATAGGGAGGTGCTGGCAGCCAGGGGGGACACGAGAAATGAACTATCCTTTTTCTTCGCGCACCCAGACTCATCAAAGAGCACAACTGCGGGCGGCCCCTCGCCCTCCGCTTGCCCCCAGCCAAACCCGTTACGTTTAAACGCGCACCGGGGAGCTGCTGCAGCGCTACAGCGGGGTCGGACCTGCGGGGAGCGTCGACACCAGCACGGCAACAGGTACCGGTCCCGAGGAGCCGCGGCCGCCGCCCCGCCTGGAGCCCGAGGATACCGCCAGTGTCGCCAGGGCCTCCTGTCTGGCTCTGACTCCGAGCGAGAGCCAACGCTGCCGCCCACAAGTGCCGGCGAGGGCCGCGGCCGCCAGCGAGGTCTACGGCAGCGGCGGCAGAGGAGATGTCCTCCCGTCACGAAACGCCAGCAGGGGGTAAAAAAGGAATGCGTGAACGGGCAGCAGGGCTCCCTGCAGATGTCAGGGGAGGTTCGGCTTTTGTTTACGCGGGGACGACGCCCCGCCAGGCCGCCCGAGCCTGT